GGATGGATGTATGCCAATATATCCATCGCGTGGATATATGCCAAAATATCCAGTTATATCACGATATATACGCTTCCACAGTTGTAAAAAGAATTGGGCGGCTATTTGCCGACACTCGACCGCAAAGGGTTAAGCTGTCTGAAGTTCTCATAGAGTTCTGCATTTCCGCGAAACGTTGTTACTGATATAAAATGTTCAAAGCAGCTGTTTTAAACATTCAAAGGAAGAACGATAATTCTTTATCAAGAGCGTTTGTGACGAAAATTAAAGTGGTAAAAAAGTGTGCTTTGAAATTAATTTGTTTGAGCATGTTACATTCATATTTTAGCTATACTGAGAGCATTCTTGAACGGAACTTAAAAAAAAGAAAACTGCGTCTCGCTATATTATTAGAAATTTCGTCGTGCCTGTTTTTTAAACGCATGCTTTTTAGTTTTACAAACAACTCCATGAAGTACGAGCGCGGTTCATATAATTACCATTCCTAATTACCATTTACGTGTAACTTAAATACACGTGTTATACTCATATTCACGACCACACGGAGTTAAAACCATAACATATTTAATTTACATTTTAGTACTTCTTTCGTGAAAGTTTCTACGCGTATACATTCCGCTACTTTTCACTGAACAAGATCATTAAAGTAAAAAAAACTTAAATGGCAGATAGTTCTCCCCTAAAAATTTCTCGAGATATGCGCAGCACATTCCGGAAACTATAGAAAGTTAATTAAGTCGAGATAACACAATGTTTAATATAATTCGTTCTTCATAGCTAAAAACAAATAAAGTACATAACTTTTAAATTTCTAAAGAGTATTATGTTCTCAATTGTAACGCCAATGTTTAATAATAATGAAACAGAGATAATAGTGTCGTTAAATAATGACGTTATAAAATATTTAAAAAATTCAGCTAGTTTATTATAAATTCTTCTTTCAGAAGATTAACAGAAAATGCCAACAAAGTGAAATTACTCGAAGCTTTCCACTAAAAATATAAGGCAACTGATACCTACATCCAGTAGCGAATGTAGGCCATTTACGGTGAATTCAAAATTACAACCGTGTCACTCAGCTCCTATGAACACACACGAAAAAATTACATTGTCTCCCACGAGTGGCTCTCCGAGGGAGACACTCCTCTGACGAAAAAAAAAGAAAAAGAAAAAAGAAAGAAAAAGTATACAAAACTGTATGAAAAAGCGGTGAATATTTAGCAAAGCAGGCCCACGAACGAAGGACGTTAATCATATCTTTGGCAAACGGCGAGCTAAATAATGTAAGAGGCAGCGGTACGCTTAACCCGGGATAGTTACGATCGAGTGGCTAAATTATTTAAAAACGAGTCACCCTCTTTAAGGCGGAGCCCATCGTTTCTTGCCTGGCGGCGACGGGGACCTGCGAGAGAGGGGAATGGATGTGGTTCCATTCATGCTTATTTCAAGCTCATTGTGCGCCCGGTGTATTCAGCCTTTGACTTGCTTCTCGTGTTGCCACTGCAGCAATGTTTCATAGAGAGCAAGAGGCATGCATGTCACTAGCTAAAATCAGGAAATACCGCTGTCACATTTTCTTCGACGCTAACGAACATTACTAAAGAAATAACGCCCTTACGATCCGACGTCTATCGCCCTAATGCTTTTTGTAACGGATCGTGACACGCTCCGCTTTTGCCAACAATTTTGACTGAATTACATCAATTTATATTTATAGACGAGATGTTGAAAATTTGGAATGAGATAAGGAAATTAGAATTGAGATAACTGGAATTAGTGGCAGAAACGAGGATCCTAATTTTAGCAATTTTTTTCATAAAAATTTTAATAAATTTGCAATCGTGCGATTTCAATGTTTTTTTTTTTTTTTTTTTTTTTTTTTTTTTTTACTCAAATACAGAGAAGGTAAATGATGAAAATCGGGATATACGTTTGTGGAGTTAAGGAGACTTCAAACGAAGTGACACAGAGTCAAACTAATTCAGAGTACAAAGTTTCGTATAACTCACGTCACCAGAAGATTTCAAGAATCAACATGGGCAAATTGAAGTTAATTAAATAACTTTTCCCGACGCACATGTTCGCATACGTACGGTCTATCAGTTCAGTATTAAAATCTTCAAGTTCTGATTTAACTATGCTTATTCGATTTACTCTGATCTTCTTCGCTAAAATATCATGTTATTACGCAGCAACCAATTTTGGTAACTCTGTCAACAATAAATATAATTTTTCGACAAGTATAATCTGTTTCTTTCAAAAATGAAAATTATGATGACCACCTTGTCTTACAATTTTCTTAGACAAGTATTAGTCATTGCAACTTGTTGTAAACTTCATTTCCAATTGAAAGAATTTAGATTTCAAAATTCGAATTTCATTTTATACTTTCTCCTTCGAATCGAAACCATAATTCCGGGCAGAGTTCGATGTTATAAGACAAGGGGTCGACACGTGTTGTTACGTTTGTTACATTGCATTTCGTGAAAACACGGATGAAACTAACATTTGCAAAATATTTTTTTAGGAAACGGGAGAGGCAACGAGAACGTCTTTGTCGCATGTACAATCAGATTTTAACGGAATGCTCGCAGCTTAATGGAAGCTGGCCTGACCTGGATGATCCACGCTGGAGCAGCGGAGAATTTGTAGAACTTCTGTCAGACTGGTTTCCGTCAAATATTACCAACGGGACGATAACAGAAAATACAACAGCCTTATCAACTGGTAACCGTACAATAAAATTTTTCTCTCGTCGATGTTATTCGTGCTTAGTGAGTCGCATTTAATCGACGTTCCTTTTCATCATCAGAAAGATCCGGCAGAAATGAAGTTTTTTTTTTCTTTTTTTTTTCATAAAAATAAATTATAAACATCGCGAAATTTTTCAATCCGAGATGTGATGCTCCCCGAATAAATGAAAATATCGACGATGGTGTTTTCACCATCTGTTTGTAAATGAAAAGAAACGAAAAGGACTTTCTAACTGAGAAGATATTCTGTATATTAAACAGCGGAACCTTTCACGCCTGTTCTACCACCCTTCGAACTCTGGCAGACGATACTGATTGCTTTCTCCCTCGCATTATGTATACTGTTAACCGTCGGCGGTAACATTCTCGTCCTTCTGGCGTTTATCGTAGATAGAGCCATCAGGCAACCGAGCAACTACTTCATCGCTTCATTAGCAGCCACTGACATGCTTATTGGTAAGTTTTCTTGCTTTTTCTATTCCTTTGCCTCCTACTTGTTTATTTTTTCTTTCTTTTTCAAATTATACTCCTTCGGAGCTATAGCTACAATTTATCTTAAATTATAAAATTTAAAATAAATCTGAAATTCCCTGAAACGTCTCCCCTTTCAAATTACTTTTCACCCTTTAGCGTTCACAGTGCACGTCCAACTTTCAATCGTAGAGTCTCGTTAGAGTTGAATTGAGGAAAGTAAAGGGGCTTTCAATTTAAATTGACCTAATCACGATACGATTGTTAAACAGGCACCGTCTCCATGCCATTCTACACGGTCTACATTCTGATGGGATATTGGAATCTTGGGCCCTTACTCTGCGATTTATGGCTCTCCGTAGATTACACGGTATGCCTGGTATCCCAGTACACAGTGTTACTGATTACGATCGATCGGTTTTGTTCGGTGAAAATAGCGGCCAAATATCGCAGCTGGCGGACAAAAAACCGCGTGATCTGGATGGTAACCATCACCTGGATCATCCCGGCCTTGCTCTTCTTTATCAGTATTTTCGGCTGGGAGCACTTTATCGGTTATAGAGACCTAGACCCTGGCCAGTGCACCGTTCAATTCCTCAAGGATCCGGTTTTCAACACCGCCCTTATAATTGGCTACTACTGGACGACGCTGGTGGTCCTGTTTATCCTCTACGGTGGCATATACAAGACAGCTTACGACATGCAGAAGAAAAGCGAGGAGAAACAGCGAAAAATGCAGTCCATGGTTGCACTGAGTGCCGGTGCAATGTCTGGCATGGCAGGCCGTGCGGCTGGGATAGGGATGTCGAAGACGCAAAGCACTCTACTGAGTCAGGACAAGCCGAAACTGAGCACATCGGGCGAGGAGGGGACAGGCGGAGACGGTTCAGGACAGAAAACTTCCTCAAAGACGTCTGGAACAGGGACAAGCGATTCGACCGAGAAACAAATGTACGGAAACACCGTTGCCACAGAGGCGGAAAAATCTGAAAGGTCTAGCAGTCCGGCGTTCGATTCCGACGAGGAGAGCACCATGGGCCCAGCGCAACAGCTCAGCAGCATCAGGAAACGATCCTCTTTGGCTGGTATGGTCGCTCAGTCCGGCGCTCTTCCGATTTTCTCGACCAACGGACATCTGAACGGAATCGTCCCCGCGAAAGTCGAGACGAACGTGCAGTCGAAGAAACTTCTCTCGGTCAGTCCAACGTGCGACATAGGCACGGCCACGCAGAAAGCACAAACGTTGCCAAAGATACAAGAATTGAGCCTGTTGGACACAGAGAACGCACCAGAGCCTGACAACAAGTCGAGCAGTCAAACGCTGACGCCTGAACAATCTCTGAAGTGGAACGGTGATGGCCCCAATCAGCAACATCTGACCTCCGCCGAAACGTCACCGCCTACTCATCCTACTCGTTCCATCAGCAGTAGCCAGCAAAACATTATACCGCCGCCCACGCAGTTCCAGAGTAGCCCGCAAGTATCCGACAGCCCTTCTACTTCGTCGTCGACCGACAGACCCAAGTCGCTGGTCGTGTCCTCTCACGGCACTTTCGATATTCTGACCGGCCTGGACGGCGGAGACTTGAGATACATGGACGAGAGCTCGGTGATCTTGCCGAGCCCTTCGTACGAAAGTCCATCGTCTTCCTTCTCGTACAGCCTGGCGAATCCCCTGTCGAGCGCGCCCTCGTCACCAATTTTAGGCAACGTCTCCACGGCAGCACCGAACACGAGTTTGTTGCAGGCAGCTCTGATCAGAGCGACGGCGCAACAGGTCAGCAATCAACAGACAAAACCGAGTCAGCCGCAGCCGGTGATGTCCAACGCGTCCAGTCAAACGCACCCCCCTCGCGTGTTTATCACTCAAAAGTCGAACGCTGCCTCTCAAACCTCGCCGACTGTTAGCAAAGTGCACACGGAGGTTACCGTGAAAGCGAAGGATACGAAGCAACAGCCTGTGACGACGATTGTCAGCGCGCCAGCAGCAGAAGCGTTCAATACCGCGACGAGTCAGTTCTCGGACCAGGACGCGAA